ACAGATGCTGCCATTTTGACCTGTATAGTTCCGCTCCACGCCGCCCCCTAAACCCCATCGAATTTGGTGTTTGGACTTCAAAATTTGATGCGTCTAATCCATTACACATCTGGATACTATGTGAAAATTATACCCGTATCCAGGAAACCAAACATGAATTCGACGAACGGCTTTAGTTACTGAGTACGCACTTCAACATGCAAACAGCGTACGGATCTGCAGCTGCCAAAACTGACATTGAAAACACAGACACTTTTATGTTTTTCCAATTTTGAACAACGTTCGTACTGCCGTCCCAATATGAATACCTTGGAGGTTCTTAACGTGGCGCAAGTCTGCACTATCACCTAGCATGTTGAATTAACGAAAATAATGAAACGTAATGAAAACCCTGAATGCGCAACACACATACAGTTAACTGGTGGGATTCGCGTTAACCGGTGACACGAATACCGGTTACATATAGACGAGAGCGAAATATATACGACTATGCGTTTGGTGTTACTTACAACCGTGGCGTTATATATAATCGCTTTAAACGAAAAGAACCGGTTACATATAGACGAGAGCGAAATATATACGACTATGCGTTTGGTGTTACTTACAACCGTGGCGTTATATATAATCGCTTTAACCGAATAGAGACTAAACTGACCCAATGAGTTCCGAAAAGCCTCATCTGGAACATCGCTCATCAGACGGGACACACAAGCAAACGTGAATGAGTTGTCATTTGCGGCTGCACCACACCGAACTGCAAATTCGCAGAAATCCTCAATAGAAATCGAAGAATTTTCAGTCTGGTGTCTGTGAGGGGTGATCATCGCCTTGTTGCGGACATATACCACCCACCAGGATTCACAGTACTCCATGAGGAGAAAGCCATTCGGGCCCTCTAAAAGTCGAGTATGTTCAAATCACACCCTGATTGGAGAACTAGGGACAATCCGAAATAACAGCGCGAAATTAATAAAGATTTGGTGACAATCGGTAGATTTATTGCTGGGCAAAGTTTCACTATTCGTACGAAAGCTTCGACAGGCAAAGTGAATAGGTTACGATGTTGGTCGAGTTGGAGAACGAATCAGATGAACCTCTGTTAGGTGTCGACCGGTGGGATTTTTTGTAAGGGTGGCTGACACAATTGTTGGGCCGTAGGGGAACCTTCATAGAGCCAGTCTAGGTCCTAGGTCTTCTGGTTCGGGTCGCGTGCTATTCTCTGTCGAACGTCATCTGCAATTTCCATCTGTCTCTGTGGAAGGCTAGCGTTACGGTAGTTGCGTAAGATGGATTCCACGAACTTTGTTCGGTTTGGGATTTCAAAACTCTACCATTTCACACTTCACACGCAACGTATTGCGGAGATAAGCAGACATTCGTTGCACACACACACCAGAAGGCAACTACATAAGCCACTGCACGAAGTAAACCGGACATCGAATGCAATCTGATGTGCAACTCAACTAGGCCTGAAAAGACCCATGATCGCAAACAGTTCACCCATGCAATTCATCTTACCGCCAGGGACCTGAATGGATACCCAAGAACTGCTTCCAACTGATATACCACAGCAAGGACAAAACCGGTTGCAGGTTGCGGAAGCGCTGTCAACAACCTAATCAATGTCATATTATATCCAAACTTGTTCAATAAATGTTCATCCAATTTTTCAAAGACTACTGCTCACACCCACCCAACCAATGCACTCCATATTGGAAAGAAGGCCTGAGGAACTCCAGCAAATCCATGTAAATACGTCTCACTGTAACTGTCACGAAATCCACCACGCGGGATGGTTACTTTCTTTAACACATCCGGAATAAATGTGCCATCACACGTTATTAGGAATGTAGATACGACACTGGGTGAACCAACATATGACGAAAAATTCACACCAAGGCGGCCTCAGGAAATCTGACAAGAAGACAACTGGCTCCATACACGTCAAAGGATGCAAGTTGCACAAAGTAACCTTCGGTTCCATCCAAGACGTCAATATGAATCGGGCAGCCGATGACCAAGTCAGAAAGATAGGAATCCGAGGATTTTCCGGATATTCCTCGGCAGGGCGTTGATGCATCCACCTAGTAACTCGAACAAGACAAAAATTGATGTATATTTATGGATTACCATTGCTGAAAGATCTAAACAGTGAAATGAACTACCATCATGATTGCAAGTAATTGGGATTCATCCAGAATTAGCCACAAACTAACCACGTACTGGGAACCGATGCTTCACGTCCCCTACTTTCGACCAACTACAAAGAAAATGGGCCGCGGAGAGTTGAGGCTGGCCTTGTGATTCAGGGCAGAAATCTTTCCAAAACTAGGCCGTTAGGCGCAGTCCTCAAGCTTAGGATGACTTTTGATCTATCTGAAAACATGTTGCACAAAATTAACAAAATGAACACATTTGCAAACAGATTTTGAGTTTCGAGTGACTTGCCAAATGATTCTCCGGTTTGTTGTGTTTCCACACACCTGGATGTGCTGCACCAGACCGTCTCGTACGAAATTCGTGATACACAAGTGGGTCTTCAGATTCGAAAACCATGTGCATCATTACCCAAACAGAATCCATTAACTTACAATGCACTAACGCGGTGGCACACAACGTGGTCTTTAGTGAAGTCAATCATTGCAGTGAGCAGTTGGAATACCTCAAATCAACTTCCATATTTGCCGAATATTCTGCACCACCGCTCAATGCTGCAGGTCAAATCGCGTTACCCGGAACAACGCAGCAACGAGGTGACGGTTCCTGTTCAACAAATCTGGAATTATTTCCATATTTGTCCTCGATAGCGGCATTATTTGGCTGAGAATACCTAAACGCGCAAGCCAAATGTGCATTGCTGTGTTAACACTGGGTGAGGAAAATTTCAATTGACTCAACCAGGTTGACTTTTCTCTCGAACTGCTGTCGTAGATCTCGCTTAGATCACATCCGCCGTCCTAGATGAGCTGCGTCAGCAATGACTGACCGCACCGCTTTAATTCAAACAGGTAATCAGTTCCAAACGGACTACCTTGAGAATACCCACCGCCCAAGATGAAATCCATGATCCCACTGGCCAGATTGGCACAGTCCCCATTAATTTCGTCATTTCAGCATTGGTCATTTTAAGTGATTATATCTGCAGGCCGATATTAGTTGTCCCGCCCAGAGGTTGATAAATCCTTTTGGACAACCCTCAAGTCTCAAATGGACGTAACTCAGAAACGATGTACACACTGGTATAGCACGAAAACACTGACTGATCAGTATTTCAGTCGGAATTTATACAAGCATGTCGGCTACCCGACCCAAAAACCACTTGAATGTGGGGTTTCGCGATTTCATTCGAAATGCGCACATAGGAAGTATATTCTAAGAATCATGATTTCCCTTTTCGTGACAGAGCCCAATAATGTTTCTCGTTATAAATGCTGTTATCAAATGGATTAAAATGATTGTCTAATGACATACTGACTACGGCGCGTCATTGACTCCCCACTGATAAGTTAGTACAACATTTGACAAATTCATTCACACTACTAACCATATTCAGGTAGCTCCGAAATGGAATCAAATTCGCACAACGATTGATGTGCTATGTTGTGAGACACTGGTGGCGTCCTGAAGACTTGCAATATTCAGGATAATGGAACGAAATCCAATGTGCTCACATAAACCTACTTTTGCCAGTCATGTCAACAGACACGAAACTTTCCCTCATGCAATGTGGCACCAATGACATGACGGAGGTTGCAGTGTCCGAACATTGCACTGATGATGATGATGTGTGTCGAGAATTTAATCCTGCATGGCTCCAACATGATGTGCAGATTTATAATCAGGTATTGTTTTGAGGCGATATAGGTCGGAAACCTGAAACTATGTCTTGGTCCCCGACCGAGGTGAACAACCATAGTCCGAGTGTAAAACAAGGATATACCAGTTTGAGGACCGGTTGGATGCTCTTTAGAAACGACAAAGTTGGGTGTCGACAAAAGCGTTTATATTTTCGTTATTAGACGAAGCGCAAAGTTCTGCGCGTTGAATGCCCGCAGTCATGTTCAACACTGTATTAAGCCACAGGAATGCTCCATCTATTCCACCTAGGATATATTTTTTTCTTCCGTTAAATAAAGGAGAGTTTGACTATTAGCAGTTTGGGGAAAGCCGATGCGAACTAATAGGTGAAACGGCCGGAAAATATCGACCAGTTGGGCTGGGCGCACATTACTAAGATGTGAGCATTGTCCAAAATGATTTGCAAACTGGTGGGGAGGCAATTAGTATCAGGCTGCGAACATAGTCACTTCAAATGACTATTTCTATCATGCTGCAATCAAACTGACGGGACAAACGGAAATGCTGCCACTGTTGTCAGGAATCACTGGTACCAAATAATTTCGCGGAATCTACTTTAGCCGGGGGAAGGTGATCAAACTAGTCATTGTGGAACTGCATGGCAATGTGAATTAATTTGTGCGAGTTGACGAGAGCAGTCTGGAAGGAAAGCAACCTGCAATAATCGGCCATACCGCCGGCCATTATCAACCACTTGAGTTGACCCAATCGAAAGGGTGTTCATCCAGTGTGAACATAGCAGTGCATAGTGATTGTGAGCAATCAAGTTCAACTATTCCCGACCAAATAGTGCTGCTACGGAGGAGAAATATGGTACTATATTCTCTGCACTTGAATCGACAAATTGCTACATCCTCCTCACAGGCCGCGCGAAATGATGTGCAGCATTGGGCGGTGGTGTATATATTTCGGCAGAATTATGCACTGTTCACAGGTGCTCAAACAACTCATCAACCATGACCTTAGAAAGAACTTCCTGTGTCCCCTTAATAGTGATTTGTTATACCGTGAATTTCATTGCGGAAAAAGTGCAATGTAGCGGAGAGATTGCGTGCTCAGCATTTCAAACAAACAGGTCATCGAGTTCGATCTGGTAGGAAGTTATTTGAAAAATATTCGTGGGTGGTTTTGCGAGAGAGACATTTGCCCACTCGGTGAAATTCCAAATTTCAAGAAACTAGTCGGAAATTCATGAAGCTCACGCAAAGAACCACTCCATGGCAGTTATTAGCGTGGCGATTGGGCTCGG